TGGCCTATGTTACAGAACATAGATTTGCAATTTTGAACAAAGGGACATTCAATTTTTGTATAACTATATGTTGACTCATGAATTTTCCTTTATATAAAAAATAATATTATATTTAAGATGATTATTTAACTATTTTAATTTTCATCAGAAAAACGTTTACCAACCTGATGTGCTGGCATGTAGTTGAGAAGGTACAAAATGTGAGCTACATGGCAAATCCGCACTTGCAACTATGTAAGGTTCTCCAGTTGATTGCGCTGAACATGAAGAAAAAAACATTTTATAATATTTTATTTTATAATAAACATTAAAAATTAACATGGAAATTAGGAGCATTATTTGAACAATGGTATAAGAAACTAGCTTTCGCCCACAAGGTCTTATATTGTACATATAAACCTTCCTCTTGTACCACTCTATATATTGATGAAAACCACATTAAAATACATAATGTTTTTTATAAGAACTCAGCTTATAGAAAACGTATTTGTTTTCTACTATTTCATTTTTACTTTAAACTTTTTATAGTTTGAAAAATTATTCACTGGTCATTGTTAATCACATATGAATGAATTTTAATGCATAGCCTGCTGCTTCCATCTTTAAATAGATAGGTAGACATTCAATATGCAGTATTATTTATAAATAATAAATTACCTGACATATGAAGTGTAGGCATTGCTATGTTGCAGTCTATTATTGGGATATTTATAAATATCTAGAAAATGTTTTCCACAAATATGCATGTTATTATATATTTTGATTGGATCCAGAGTTATTTCTCTACCAACATTGTCTAGCCATTTTTTAAATTTCTCTGTTTTAGTTCTAGGTTCAGGAAACCGGTGCAAAGGGATACCTGAGTAACATAATAATATGTATTATTCTCTGCTATTCACACAACAAATTATTAGTCCTTAATTATTTGTATAATGGATGAACAAATAACAATTCTTAAATTGTAGGCAGTTTTTTAATGAATATTGTATTCTACGATAGCTCAAAGAAAAATACCTGAAAAACATTTGAATTATGAAACTCCACGTATAGGTATAAAAATCGGTTTAAAACTTTGTCATTATAGTACAATTCATAAAGTATTTATTGTACAAACTAAAAAGCACTTACCGCTATCCTTAGTCACTGAACATTAAAGTACACAACAATGGTTTTGAGCCATGATTTTTTGAGCAAAGTTCAAATTAAAAACAAGTAACATTTCGGTACGGGATATTTCAAGACACAATACGATTGCTAACACAATATATTTCGATTACACGGACGAACTTAATCAACTCAACGTGAAAAGCAGAAAAAGTTACAGGAACTTGCAAAAACTAACAAGCACACGGACATTCACACAATACTCACTCACTCAATTTCAATTTGCGAAGTTAGTTTTAGAGTTTACGCACAATACCAAACCATTTCATACGCGCCATTTTTTTTTTTTAATAGTTTATTCTTGGCTTGGATGCTTGTCCTTTAGCCGACATACGCGCCATTTTCAATTGATATTGCCATAGTATATTTAATATTACCACTTAAATTAGAAACATTTCTAGTGACAATTCTATAATTACTATATTATTCTGTAACAAGATATATTATTTCAATAATATTAAGTATCATAAGGCTTTTTAACTAAGTTTCAAGTAATAATAAACAAGATTTATTAATGATGCCTCTAAAAATTATCCCCAATTATAAACACATTTATTTATTGTGGCTACACCATGATTTCTATTTTAAAAGCTGGCACATAGATGGCACTGTAAAGTAAAAAAAAATCGAGTTCTAAGTTTGCATAGCATGCATCAGTCGCCCGCGCACAACCACTTTGAACGCACGCACTTCCGCCTTCCGCTTCCGTGTTGCGCGCCACCCGCCGCAGCCCCACATTTCGCGCGTCGTAATGTATTCCAATCGCGAATATTTTGAAATGGTGCAGTGTTACATACATGGTGATCAACGTGACGCGGAGGCCCCATCGTAAGGCCTGCGCGATCGCCGGACCTAACACAGTGTGACTTTTATTTGTGAGGCGAAATTAAAAGACGTGTGTATGTTGAGGAAGCACAAAGCCTCGAGGACTTAAAAGTGCAAATCAGAGCGGCATTTTACCAAGTGAAAAATGACACGGTAGTGCTCGCAAAATTAAAAGACAATGTGCAAAAAAGGCGCAAGACTCTGTTTGGAGAGGAACGGTATCGGCTGTCCCAGTTCAAAACCTAGTAACTGTTTTGGACTAAATTTTACAGGAGAGCAAAAAAACTCTTTTTAGGGTAGCTCTTAAACTATTTAACACCTGTTGAGAAATTATTCTTTACAAGAAGGAGTAGTTTGAAACTGTTAATTTGATATATAAATTATTTGTCTAAGTTTAATTCTACAAATTTTATGAGCTAAAATATTTTTAACAATTAAACGGCTAAGTAAAAATTGACTTCCAAAACCATTTCAAACCTAGTAAGTTCTCTTACTTGATTTTGATCTGGTTTAACATATTAGCTAAAAATCAGCTTATCCAGATCAAAAGCTAGTAAATTCAAATTTATACAGCCATTTACACATGTATTTGTGTTTCATTAGGCGGCATTCATTTGTTTTTTTTTCTTCTATTTGTCCTATTTACGTCACCCAGTATTAAAAATGGAAAAATTGAAATATCGTGTTATTTACGAGTACGAGTTCCACCATGGTACCAGTGCTGCGGAAACGGCTCGAAGGGTTAATGATGTGTATGGCGGTTGTGTCGCAAAAGAAAACACAGTACGTTATTGGTTCCAACGTTTTCGTTCTGGAAATTTCGAGCCTCATGGACGGCCGGAGACCCAACTTATAATGAAGAATTGAAGGGTATTGTGAAAGCGGATCCATTCGAAACCAAGTCCGAGTTAGCTGCAGGCTGCGGTGTTAGTCATAGAACTGTTTTAATCCACTTGAAGCAAATTGGAAAGATTAAAAAGCTTGAAAGGGTACCTCACGAATTGAGAGAAGCAAACCGGTAAACGCGCTTCGACTGTGTTTTAACTGGCACAATAATGAAGGGTTTTTAAATCGAATCATTACCTGTGATGAAAAGTCGATTCTCTACGATAATCGGAAGCACTCATCGCAATGGTTGGACCTTGGCATGCCAGCCAAATCCTGCCCCAAACGAAAATTGATCCCAAAAAAATTACTTGTAAGCATTCGGTGCAGTAGTGCCGGTGTCGTTCATTAGAGTTTTCTCAAATCTGACCAGACGATTACGGCAGACGTCTATTGTCAGCAAGTGCAAACCATGCTGGAAAAACTAGCTGTTAAACAACCGAGGCTGGTCAATCGCTCTACGCCACTGCTACTTCACGATAACGCTAGACCACACGTTGAACAACAGACGGCTACCAAATTAGAAGAGCTTCAATTGGAATGTCTAAGACATCCACCATACGCCCCGGACCTTGCTCCAAAGATTACCATTTTTTTTGGAATTTGGATAACTTCTTGCAAGAAAAAAAAATCAACTCCGATGGGGCAGTGCAAATCGCCTTCAAAGATTTTATTGATTCCCGTCCGAATGGTTTTTTAGTAAGGGGATCACGGTACATAAAGTTGATTAAATACGCCTGATTTCAAAAGAATAGCGAGTTAAGTACCTACTTTGAATTGGTTTAACTAAACAGAATTTTAGGTAACTCGATATTTACTTACCTACTTACTTTATAAATTTAAAGCAGTATAGCCACAGAACACAGAAGTATAGCTATTGTAATAGTAGGTATCTAATAGGATTTAGGCAATTTGACGGTCCTAAGCCCGTAAAAGTATGAAGAGGTTTCAACTTTATTTACCATTTCCCCAAGCATGACAAAACGAAAACATTTTAGGTAGCTGCTATTATTACTTTCAATGAATTGCGGCAAGGGAGGGAGGGGTAAGTGCAACGTAGTGCGTAAAGCGCACGTACTGGGCAGCGAGAGCGTCCACAAATGTAGGTTTTTTGAAAATAACTTGATGACGATATAACTCAACATTTTTGTTCTAAACGACGTAAAAAGAAAAAACCCGTATTTCATTATTTGTCGTAAAGATTAACATACTCAAATTTGGAGAGTGGTTTTAATTGCTTCCTGTATAGAGTCTGTTCGTCCGTTTGACCATTCCACATTTTTACCTACCGGGAAAACGAGACCCAATTACTAGGACTTCGCTGTCTGCTTGTCTGTCCGTCCGTCCGTCACTAGGCTGTATCTCATGAACCATGATAGGCTGTTGAAATTTCCACAGATGACGCATTTCTATCGCTACTATAACAACAAGCACTAAAGAGAATAAAATAAATACTGTATAGGACTCTCATACAACAAACTTAACTTGTTTGCGTTTTTTAGAGATGGTACGGAACTCTTCGTGCATAAATTCGTCCCGCACTTGGCCAGTTTTTTTAACTTCATTGTATGATAATTTTTGCGCCCCTTAACAAGTGCCTCCACTAGTCCCTCCTAGATCCGGGCCTGGAAAGCTGCTGCAACAAACAGTGCTGCAAGACGCGTCTCGTGGGTCGCGGAACGTTAGAACCAAATGTACTCAATGGTTAGAACTGAGAAATATTGATATGATAAGGTAGAGTAACTTTCACAATCGATGGATGGACCGTCGCGTAATTACGCGCACTTGACTCTTGATGGATATGCAACCGACTCTAAGTCAATTCATACTAAAAAGCCGTCCCACATGGTCGACAAAAAATTCGACCGTGGTGACTTTACTTCAAGGCGTCAAGCGTTCCGACAAAGGTGATCTTGGTCGGAATTCGTTTTCCAACCGCCAGTGTTGGCATAGGCAATGTAGATATTAAAAAAATGTCAACCCCGAATGTGGACGGATTGGGCCAGTGTGGAGGGTCATGGCTCATCCTCCTTAACCATCCATAAGGAAGGCCTGATCGTCGGTCGAAATATTTGTAATGGATCATCATATATATCCATAATGAATAAAAGACAGGTCTATATGACCATCGCTGTTATGAAAAAAAAATCCGAGCATACTTATACGCTTATATAATGCTTACGAGCCTAAAAAAAACAAGTTCACAGCTCAAAAGATACTTTTTGTAGAGAATCTTTTTAAAATCAAGAAAGAAAAAACATAAATATGTCATAATTTTGTCAGTGTCAAGTTAAATTTGAAATATAGGAGGGATTGACACCGCGTCTTATTTAATTCCAATAGTTTAACTGCAAACTACAATTAATTTACATGGCAAACGAAGCCGAGGAAACGGTACGCAAACTAGCATCGCACAGGGGAGTGCATGGAGTGATAATAGTAAACGGGGAGGGTATACCGATAAAAACAACATTGGACAATCATGTATCAGTTCAGTATGCGGGACTTATGTCCGCGCTGGTGGACAAAGCGAAAGCTGTTGTGCGCGATTTGGACCCCTCCAATGATCTTACTTTCCTAAGGATCAGAAGTAAGAAGAGCGAGATCATGGTTGCCCCTGACAAAGAATTCATATTGATAGTTGTCCAGCACCCTGTTGAATGACGAAGGCTACCCGCCTTTGGGCGAGTACTTTTTGATATCCAAAAGTGTTGTATTATTTTAAATTGTATTAGTTTTTTAATATAGGATAGATTTAAATAATGATCATGTTCAATTTGGTGTTCTATACTGATGGGCAAAAATAGGCTGCTTCTATTGTTATTATTTTCATTATTTTTAATTGTTCTCGTTTTTCTCGCTCAATAAATAGTTGATTAATTTTTAAATTCATTAGGTATTTATTTAATCTCAAAATTAATACTTTATTAAATAAATTTCGAGTAAGTTTTGCTTTGAAACAGACACCCGGTGTAGTAAATGGCCTGGTTTTATTGTCTACCAGTGAATATTGGACGTAATACAACTGTTAAACTTATACTAATCTAAAGAGGAAAGATTAGATTGTTAATTTGTTTGCATCAAATAGGCTCCAAAAGTAGTGGACCTATTTTAATTATTCTTTCACCTATGAGTAGCTACATCATATAGGGTTGACATAGGCTACAATTTTCACGAGCGATACCGCGGTACAACAGCTAGTATTAAATAAAGAGCAAAGATTTTGGTTTATTTACTTTATTTGGTTTAGTAATACAACATAGACATGACATTACACAATAATATTCTCTAGGAATGCACATTTACTAAATTAAAGTGTATTTCACCATTGAGACCCCCCTCTCCACGCACCTCTGGCTCGTCCAGAAAATCCGCCTCTGTTACCGAAGCCGCCCCGAAAGCCCCTGGAGTTGTCACCATAACCGCCTCGGTACCCACCACGATTGCCAGCGAATCCACCTCGGTTACCCCCAAACCCACCTTGGTTACCACCAAATCCACCTCTATTGCCCCTAAATCCTCCTTGGTTACCCCCAAACCCTCCAGGGTTACCCCCGAACCCACCACGGTTGCCTCCAAACACTCCTTGATTGCCGAAACCACCTCGGGGCCCATTCGTGCCCCAACCTCTGAAATTTCCTCGTTTAGCTCCGTCAGGCCTAAACGCCAGCGGCGTCACTTCCCGTTGGATGTTGAAATCACCAGCATCCATCACGCATAGTTCTCGTAGACAACTGATGATCTGAAAACGGAAATATTTTTTTTTTTGATTTTGTTGATCTTCTATATAAATAAAAAATGTAATGCTAAATGTGTTTGCTAAGGGCAAAAGTCGAGAACAGCTTAACCAAATCGGCTGATTTATATTATTTTGTTGTGTTAAATAAAGTCTAAAGAAGGTTGGTATGGAGAGAAACACTAAAAAGAAATATGAGGAAAATAGTAAAAACAACAATTTTCTTTTCCTGTACAAACCGTTCTAACTGTTAAACATATGACGTCAATCAAAGCAAAACAAAGACGTGTTGGCTATCTTTGGTTATTGTTTTAGAGAAATAGGGCAAAATAAGTTCTGCCGGGGTATCTAGTTATAAATATAAATAAACACAAAGACAAAAACTGACAAATACCGTTAATATTTTTCTAATATGTCAATCAATCCGGGTGAGGAGACATATATTTCACTTAAATTGAGTGGCATTCTTAACTATTGATGAGATTTTTAAGAAGAGGAGTATTGGAAATATAGAAGCAAAAACAGTGTAAAATGAGTCTCTTAAATAATGATCAAAAGATTAAAAACCACTGGTTTAGAGAGTGGTACATAAGAATAGGGATGACGACTGGGTAAAAAATATCTATTTAGTCCGTTAGTCAGATAAAATATTAAATACGATTTTTTTAAACTTTAATTTAACACGAAATAGCTTCGATAACAGCCAATAAAGTTGAGGAGTGGGGGCTCGCTACGTCACAGTTTTGTAGAAAATGCACAAAAGCGTGACGTCATGTGGCATTGTAACTCAATGTATCGCCGAAATTTAATGATTACGAAATAAATAAAAAAAAATACTTGTGAAATATTTTTTAACAATCTGCCTAACGGACAAACAAAAAAAAATTTAGTCATCATCTCTATTGGCTCCATTACGATATTGAAACATAGAATTTAAGTACCTTTTTTATTAATGAAATATGCTTAAAAATCCACTTCGTCCCTAGCACTCTTAGATGGGACTCGGCAGAAAATGGATTTTTAAGCATTTTTCATTAAGAATATTTTTCAATATAGAATTGTGAATGAAAAATTTATCAAATACAATAAATAGGTACCTTTTGTTCGCTGGGCGAGAATTGCAAAGCGGCATCTGGTTCGGCAGCGACGCGTTCCACCAGTCGTTCAACAGCGGGACGTAACGCGACAATGAGCGACGCCACCCGCGGAGACATGTCAAAGTTCAACCAGTTGTCTATGCGTACCATGTTGTCGATCTGCAATATATAATAACATCAGTAAATACAACAGAAATATGTATTACTGAATAAATTATTGCGTCGTGGGATACGAGCTTTGAACATTTTGCATTAGGTCAAGAATTGTATTAAAGTCCACATTTTGCTCCGGCAATATTTAATTCAATAGCAAAGTGAAAAACAAGGAATGGCGAAAAAGATTATTCCGATTTCTGCCATTTCTTGTTTTATTTCACATTAACAGTAGGTTTTTGTCATTTTTCTTTTTACGTCGTATATGTTTTACTATCTATATATATAAAAATGAATCGCAAAATGTGTTGGTAAGCGCATAACTCAACAACGCCTCGACCAATTTGGCCAAATCTTTTTTTAAAATGTTCGTTGAAGTTCAAGGATGGTTTTTACGGCGAGAAAAATTAGAATTATTGCTGGAAAAACCCTAAAAATAGCCCTTTTCTTTTTCCCATACAAATGATTTGTAACTAAAACGTAGTCAATTTGAGCTTTATTGCTATGGTATAAAGTTCATATTAAATTACAAGCACTCACTGTTGTCTAAGCAATGTAGGTGTGTTCCTAACGTCAAAGATCATATCTATCAAAACAATGTGCGTGTGTGCGTTGGAGCACAGAATACATAGTTGGAGGAGTTTAATGTCGCGTTCCGAAACTCGCGTTTCTTTTGTATTAGTTTCGGCACGCGAGATAAAATGCATCAGTTTCCACGTCATTACATGTATTGCCGGAACATTGATGAAAATACGCTCTGTAGTAGCAAAGCTGTTGGGTCCTAGATAGCTCATTGGTTAGAGCAGTCCCTGGATCGCGAATGGGTTCGAGTCCTATTCCGGGGTACAGGTAGATGGATTCTTCCAGCATATTTCCTTGAGAATGTTTATATATTTTTTTAATTCGAATAGTTTACTTTTATAATGCTGTTGTGTGTAATGTGTTTTTATGATCATAAAAATCTCTTTTTTCTATATTTAATACTATTACTATTAATACATTGCAATAATAATTATGATTCACATGATTAACAATAAAGCGATTACTTACTTTTAAATCCTTATATATGTTTTATTTAATTATTTTTTATTCACAACGCCCTATCACCAGGGTGACGGTTCTGTTCAGGAGAATTTTTTTAAATACGTAGGCAAAAAAACTGCCACATTACAAATCTTTTTGACAGGACGAAGTCTGTCGGGTCAGCTAGTATATCTATATTTTTACGCCATATCCCTGGCGGGTTAGGCAGAGAGGTCCGAATGCCACAATGTACGGTCGAGAGTCAACGAGCTCTGGGCGGTCTGAGGTGTTCTATTTCTGAAGCACCTTCAGCAGAACATCAAGTGTCTTGTAAAAACCAGTATCAATAATTTTGTGTAATTAGATTGGGGTCGTGTTACTTCGTTAAAAATCAATACAGTCCATTAAAAGTATTCAGCATCATTATATTACAAACATACCATTCGCGGACAGTCACTGTATCAAATTTGCGTTACATAAAATTACGATATGTATCGTTAGCCATAGGATTGTGCAAGTTTATTTATTTATTGAAAAAAAAAAAAAACTCGAAAGGCGATTTGATGGCAAAGGCATTCTTTACCAGTCGATCTAAACAGATGAGAATAAAAACGAAATAGATTAATAAATTAATATATGTCGGGGCATCGATTGTACCACGATTATTCGATATTGATTCCTAAACGAGACTGAATTATTATTCACTCCTATTTATTTATTTTAAAGATAGTCCCCGATACGGACCATCTATTTGGGCTTTGTAAAAACCCCTTCTGACTACCCGCCGTCATATACTTCCCGATATACACACATACTAATCTGTGTATATAAAAATGAAACCCCATTTCTCTTGAGTCACGCCATCACAGGTGAACGGCTGGACCGATTCCACTAATTCTTTTTTGGTTGTGTTTGTTAATGTCAGGAGAAGGTATTTATCAAATAAAAACATTAGAAAATTGTGTGAAAATTTTGAAAACATTTAACGACCATATAAAATTATTTCTAATCTAACCTCAGTGCTTTGGATAATATAAACTTTTTTAATGTAACCTTATGCCGTTTGATATAGAATTGACAGAATGCGTGCTGCAAATATCGTCAATAGGATGTAAGAAAAAACTGTTTGGATTCAATATTCATAATTAAGACAAGGCAACGTCTGTCGGGTCAGCTACTACAAGAAAAAATACAGAATCGAAAAGACATTTTTTTACATACTGACGATAGCGCTCACGGACCAATCTCTTAAATACCATGATACTCTTAGTAGTCCTTATGTGAAGTGGTTAAGTATTCCAAAGGCAAGTAGCAAGCAAATAAGAAATAGCGGTCAGGGTAAAGGATTTGGAGACGTATACAGTATCATGAAGGGAAGTTTGGAGAAGGTTGCTACTAGAGCGATTGATTGCATGGAACCCAGATATTGAAAACTAGATTTCAAATATCCCGGGGTAGGTACATGAATCTCGTAGAGTGCCACCTTTTATGTACGGGGTAGGATCAGCGATGTAGCGCAGCTTCGACACATGTGAGCGAGATACTCACCCATTCGACTTTCCTGCTAGCGAACAGCAGCAGATGTATCGGCGCCACCATAGTGGTCTGCTTGCAGCTGATCGCTCTAGTTCGCACCTTCTCACCGAACACGAACAATGGCGACGGAAACTTCTGCTCCTGGTTGCTGCAATTCACCGACGTCTTGTGAATCAACGCCGGCTTGCCTTCAGTTGTCAACACCTGACATTTTATAATTATTTACAATACATTTTGTTAAAACCATTATTATTTGGGGATCGTGGCTAAAGGTCACGTTCTATTATACTATACTCTGATTTTTAATTATTTGGACTAAACCGACATTAAGTGGGTTGCCACTTTAGCACAAAAAAACATTGTAGTCTAAGTGATAGGAAGCGATCTATGAATTGTGATTCGTTTACAATTAATTTATTACTTTTTAGGTTATCTTATAGTTAGCAAGTTATAATGGTTATTTTAAAAAACTCAAAATAAAGTTTGTGTGTTTGAAATACTTGGAAGTATTTTATATGAATATAAAAAAGTCATATCACAGAAGAGATTCATGTATCATTTAATACAGCTATGTTACAACACTTGCACGGAAGCTTACAAAATTTATAGAAAAATAAGGTGATTTTTGCCGTCACTTTAGTCCATCTAATTAAAAATTGGAGTAAACATTGACTCAATAAGGTACAGTACCTTCCTCTTGCCCTGATGCAGACAAACATTAGGATATAATCCCATGCACATGAGCGCGATCACCATATCCAAATTAGGATCAGGCCCTGATGGGTTCCAACGTTGTGGTGGACAACACTCCTCCGGGAAACCGATCGCAGTTGTCAATATATCTGGTGACAATATATTGTACCGTTCAATAGAATCTTTAATATAAAAAACCGGTGTATAGTCTGGTGTATAGACGAAGCTATACATATTTTGCAATTCACAAATAATTGGTTAATAAAAATAGATTTAGCAGTGATTGATATAAAGACTCAATTTCTATAACTTTTTCTATACAATACGTACGAGTATTGTGCATGAAAAAAAAAAAAAATAGCGAGAGGAACTCGATTTTATCTACATTTTTCTATAACCAAGGATGGGATATTTTTTGGGTACATTCAATGAAGTGACATTGGGACAAAGCGTTTTCTGATTTTATCATACTATGCGGGCTGGTAACACCATTTATCATGTTAGATGAAAGAAGAATTATAATCGAACGCTCAATGAAATGAGAATAACAGAGATATCCCTTACTTATCAGCTGATATTTAGCTTCGGAGGTGACTCGGAGTGTGGTTTGCTGCACTCCTTTCCATTCACACCACGCTTGCTCGGCGTCTTCACCTTTAGCACGTTCCCTTTCCCACATCTAAAATAATTAATACGATTGGTTCTGACAATTCCTTGTACATGAGCTTTACAATTTTACTTGACTGTATATTGATGAACATGATGTAAGGCAGATCCGGCAAAATGACGGCGAAATTGATCTTTTACGATTATAAATTAAAATTCTTATTAAATTAATATTATTATTTAAATTAATTAGTTTTAATTGTTGTTACTTTATTAATATTAAAAACTATTTAATAATTACAAAATAAATAAATAATTATAGTGTAAATTGACGGAAGTGTGTTTGGCTTCAAAATCATAATCCATTTGCTAATTAATTTTATAAAAAAACGAATGGTAACGATAAAAAAAGTTCAGTTTTTGTATAATGGTGTTAAGTGGTTTAATCTGTTTAAATTAAAATAAAGTTTAATTATGTTATGTCATTGCTTCTTTAGTGTTTGCGAATGAATTCGAATTAAAGACACATTGTTTTGTGCTTTTGATTTGTGTCTCATGAAATGCTTTTGACTATTATCGATTAAAAATAAGGATTGAGAGTGTCGTTTTATTATTTAAAGGCTGCGATTTCAATACATACAAGTTAAATACTGTTTGTGGTTTTAATTATACAAGTCTACCCAACTGTTTTCAACAATATAGATACAAACGCTTATCGAAACAAAAGTACAGTAAAATACAATAAGCTGCTTGATATAGCATGTTAGAAATGGTACATAACTTCTAAGTTAAAAATGACGATATAGTATTTTTTTGGGTTCCGTATCCAAAGGGTAAAACCTATTACTCAGACCTGCACGCGTAGCATGACAAACTCGAGAAACACTTTGTCTACACTCATTTGTCAGTTTCTCGGGTCGAGAGTGAGATATCGTATGGGCGCACCCGAGAAAAGTGACATTTGAGTGTAGACAAAACGTTCTCGAGTTCGTCATGCTACGCGTGCTGGCTGTCTGTCTTTCACTAGACCGTATCTCATGAACCGTGAAAGTTTCATAGTTTAAATTTTCATAGATGATGTATTTCTATTGCCACTTCGACAATAAATACTAAAAACCGGAATAAAATAAATATTTAAATGGGCTTGTGAGCAAACGTGATTTTATTTTTTTTTGCTTTTTTTTTATTGATGTTGATAACAGAATATGTATTTATAGAGTAAGTTTAAAAATAAATAATTAAATTAAAATTAAACAAATCTTGTTTTTTGCTAAATTAATTTACAATTTCCAATTGTGGACTACAAACACCGAAACGGGGGCGGCCATGACGGAGCAACGTGTGACGTTGTATTGCGTTCAATAAATTAAACGTTAACGTCTTTGTAGCTAGTGCTACCAGTAGGGCAATTCTGCCTATGGTAGCGTAACTGCAGAAATGAATTTAGAATTTATTAACTTGTATTTGAAGTTTTGTTGAATTTAATCACTTTAAACTTAGTTCTTGTTATACAATCATAAATATATCCGTCACTATTGATTTGTGTAGACATTGCACTAATAATATTTGACTTCAGGTAGATAGTACATTGGCAAGATGCGATAATTACGTAAACATTAGCAGAATTGAGGCCCTGTACTCACGTTTATTGAAATGTGACGTCACGACTCGAAATGTACAGTTATCGCGGGAAAATTTAAATGAATGTGTAAAAATGACTTATTTTTAATAAAACTTTTTGGTGAAATATAAATCTGATAGTGGTTGAATATGATCATATAAAAGTTTTAAAATACTTTTTATTAAAGAGTAAAGTAACCTAACCAAAATCTGCGCAAAGGAGTCCCACCAAACGTCATATTAGTTGGAACTTACTATTATTTAATTGTAACAATCTTCGTTTTATAACTATGATAAAAGTAATAACTTGAGCATTTTTTATTTTGCTCGAAACGGGACATCAGGGATGGGGGGGTAACAATAAATAAATTTCTAGTTTGTTCTATAATTAATTTACCTTGCGTATAGAATAAGATTTCAAAAAAGTCTTCTAAACATTTGAATGAGGAAGTATTAAAAAAAAACATAGGTCGCCGAAATCAAACTAGATGTCGCTATGGTACTTTCTTGATTTGTCCATGACAACCCCTCCCGTTTTTCTTATTTAATTATTTTCTTAAGTTAATTATTTTTTAGAACTCGATAATCAACCCATATTCTATTTGTACTTTTTCGTATTTGCATTGATATCTAAGTTTCGACCTTTGCAAATTCCAATATGTTAGTTAAAAGGAACGGAAGTGACTACCTTTGGTCCATTTGTTTCCTGTAAAAATCAACTTTTGCTAGAGTCGCCATCTAGTGTTTACTTTTTTTTCTTAAAAAACTTTCTCAAGTCATTCAACTAAACTTACGCCGCGAAAATTAATTATTCCCAAATTATGTAAGCTGTATAAATCGTAAAGATAATTTGATAAAAAAAATCGCACGTAGATTTCTCCTAATGTGATTTTGTCGTCTATACCTCTTCCTCGCTTTGTGCAGGTGACAAAATTTTAACGGTTTCGAGGGTAAGCTTTTAGTAATTATAGCAATTCAAAATTTATTTGTGTTTTATTATGTAAATTTGAATAAATATTTATACACGGTATTACTATTAATAACGTTGATTTTTAAATATTTGGAAATACCAATTGTACCCGTACCCATGCTATGTGAAACTGACTATAGTATTGACTCACTTGGAATGCATTGAGCATGGCAACGTGATCGGAGGCCCGTTCGCCGGCCAGCGCCCTCTGGTGGGCGGAGAGCCGACGGCGGCCCTCCAGCGAGAATATCTCCGGGAACGTCGTAGAGTTGGCCGCCATCGTGGTCAGCGCATCGCCCACGCCCAGCACGAAACCCAGCACCATCATCTTACCCAGCCGAGGCTCTAACACAATATACATTATCTATATTAATATTATAATCAGGAAAGATTTCATTGTTTATTTGTTTACATCGAATAGGCTCCGAAATACTGGTACAGGATTTAAAAAATTCTTTCACTTATGTGAACCTAAGTAGGTGAACATAGGCTATATAGTATAATAGCCAAATAACACCAAATAAAGGGATCAAAATGGTAGTGAATGTAATGTATAGGGAATATAGCATATAAAGTATAGGGAATTAAAACGTTGCCATAGTCATAATTGTTTACTATTCAATGCGGGTGTAGACGATTTTTTATTATACCTATTTATATATTTGAATTTAATTTAAAATCTCATATATTAATTTAAAATCTAAAAATAAAATTCATGTTGAAAATTCCCCGCTAAAACTCTAACCTCTGTCATGACGTCGATGTGAAGGCACAGCCCTCTGAAACTATCATAAATGATAACCACAACAAACATCCTTCTATACCTCTCGTAACACAGGGTAACCTTATATGAGAGCAGTTCACATTTTGTACTGAAAAAAGTGTATAAAATAAATAAATTTTCATTTTCAAAATTTTCATTTTCATGCACAGTTCTATGTATGTCAATGTCAAATTTATGACATCTTTCTTAGAGGACCGTGATGTCAACATATCGAAAGACTCACCTATTGGTAGCTTAGCCAGTATAGTCCCGAGTGGTGTGAGGGCATCGTTATTGTGGACGTCGAGACAACCAAGTTCGCGCAATAAGGCTTCGGCCTCAATCACCGCGTCCAACGGCGGCGGTTCCGGGGCTTTGGATAGGAAATGACCGATGCTGCCCAGCCGGAGAAGCTTGATACTTTAAATTAAATATTATAAAACATTAAACAACATCACATACATTGAGTAGCTACAACCCCCGTATTATGGAGTGTCTGAGATAACGAAGATACCACAACACCCAGACTCGGGACAATATAGAAAAGTTTATTTTTTACACCCGTCCGGGAATCGAATCCGGGATCTCAGAGATGGCGACACCTTGAAACCGGCGTTCGAACCACACGGTTACCGAGCTCGTAGTTTTTGTTGAGTGTATTATAAACAAGTTGGTCGGTCGTTTAGTGTATAACAAGCTAAATTATTGATCTTTCTGAAAAGGGGCCGTCCATTAATCACGTGACATTTTTTCATAATTTTTTTGACTCCCCTCCCCCTTGGTGATACATGGTGAGGTTTAAGACTACCCCCTTACTCCTTCAACCAAATCACGTGTTTTATTAAAAAAAAAACAAAAATCTTAATTTTTGACGTCGCTTCTCGTTTCAATAATCGCGCGTCAAGGAAAAAATAAATACACGTGATATATTTCTACACCCCCCACCCCCCTTGTGATATTTCGTGATTATTGACGAATCCCTCTCCCTCTTTCGAGCCTCACGTGATTAATGGACGGCTCCAAATCTAAAGCATCTAAGGTATAAAAAAAAAGGTAAAATGATTTTATTTTGTAAAATGAAGAAAAAAACCTTGAATTTCTTATTTACGTTTCCAATCTAGATTCCACTGACACCATTATTCACATAATCTAATATATATAACATTACTGGTGTAATGTATCAGATCCATCTTTATTTCTTTCTCAGTAATGTATCAGAGTGTGCTTTTGTTTCCATCACACCAACTCTCTCTCACTTTCGCAGATGGCTACATCGTCTCTATTTTACTATTGCATAATTTTGGTGCAGAATATTAAATATAAAAATTGCACTAAAATTGTGGATTTAATTTACAATAGACGTATTAAGATCTAAATAAGTAATATTACCCATAAAGCACAGGAAAATATTAAATTAAATAAACACACCCAAGTATAGTACTATGTTGTCTATGATACGACTAGAATAAAATAGGCAACCAACCTGAGAGCGAGTTCGTGTAACGGTGTCCTGAACATCTCGGCAGTCTGATGTTCCTCAAGTCGATCGAATCTTGCTCTAGTACATAGCGTGAAACAAACCCCGGGACGGACGCGACCCGCGCGACCTTTCCTCTGTAACAATCAAACATAACGTACATCGAACAATCAAGAATCACTCTTATTGCACAGATGATAAAATACAAAATGGATTAATGGTGAAAAAATAGTACTATGCAAAATGTTTGCTATCCATGGCTTCGATATGTATCAGTAGCATAATATGTATGCAGTAGCATAATATTCTTATAATATCCTTTATAGATAGATAGTTAATAATAATATGTAATAACTAACTGTTTTGCCGTGACTTCGCGTAAATTAAAAAGTATATCAACCCTGTATGTGAGAGGGAGAATTTTTAATATCGATCGAATAGTTTTGGAGTCTATTCGATGCTTACAAACATACAAACCAACAATCAAATCTTTCCTCTTTATAATATTTGTAAAGATTTATTTCTCTTCCACACTAAGCTTCAAGTCACAATTAGGAGAAAGAATCAGTTTTAGATCGCACAGAATTACATTACATGTTAAGAGATGGAAATTAAATATTCAATTTCAATCACACAAAATTGTTTTACTTTATTATCTTTGGAAATTGCAAAGCCAGATTTATAGGCTATTCTCAGTGCAGGCCAAAATGGACAATAACCCAAAATATGTGAGTGTTGAAAGTAAACGATATGAACTATCCATAGAACCCTGTATAATTTATATTATAACAAAATGAGTTTGTTTCTTTTTATGATGTTTTTGTAGATGTTGTATACCTTAATTAAAACTTTGAGTTTTTGGGGGATACCTAAAATATTATACTATTAATGTCTCATACGATACAAAAAAAAACTATGTATTAACTGTGCGATAAATTAAACTCACCTGTTCCAGATTAGTTCTACTAGCCCAAACGGTGGCGTATGACGTCATGTTGTTGTGTGACGTAAACAGCTTCATTTTCGCCTTGCACGAGTCGATCACGTACACAACATCGTTGATAGTGACAGATGTCTCCGCAATATTAGTCGATAAAATTACCTATAAGGAATATTTAAACTGAATTGACACAAAATAAACACAACTAGCAGTCATTACAAAGAAAGCGTAAGAATCGCTGACTGTTTGTTTGCTGTCATAACATTTCCAGTCGAGGTAATCGATTATGTGAATGAATTTGAAATTATTCACAAGATTGTTAAAGTTTAAATTTAAAATATAAGTTTTTTTGCGCCTTGCCGCCATTTCGATGACGTTTTACCGATTATTGTATTGGGTCACCAATTTACTGAAATGTTATGTGGTTTATTCATTAGTATATAGGTTGATATTTAACTTCTTGATAAGTTTACTATCTGACTCTATTTATACGAAGGATCGGTAAAATAAATAAACGTGTTCACAGTTATGAGTTTACTTTCAGACTGTTTGATGTTGAAGTGCCACTTACAAATTACAAAATATCATAGATTACGTTGCCACAGAGTGGTCGACAAAGATTATAAAACAGATGTGCCACAACGTAATTGCGTAAAAAAATCAGTACCGTTAACAAATAAACATCATTTTTATTGTTACTTATTATGATTTTTACAATAATTCAACATAAATTCACTATTGAATAAATTTAACTGTATCTAATAACCCTCATTTCATTAATACTTTTGGTTATGTTTTAAAAAAATGTGCTTTCCGTTTGTATTGCGTTATTGCAAAGTAAATGTATTTTATTTCATATTTTATTATTTTCCATAAACCTCAATAGTTATACCGCGTGTTACAAAAATACCCGTTATAGCTGAAGGGTGTTGAAGTATATCATATAAACAGTACTCTGCCAAATTTTCAAAACCTTTGCATTAACTTTTAACTTTCAGTAAAAAGGCTAATTTTTAATAATTAATATTAACATCGAGTGTGCTATGTCACATCACTATTTTAGGTTAATAACCTTACCAGGAGTAATGGCACACTACCTACCTCCTATGTTTTCTAATTTTTTTTCTATTCTCCTAGTACACACTCACACATACACACTAAGAATGAGAGAGAAAATATACTTAAAAACATGTCTGCGTTTGCCAGTTTACACAGTAAATACTTAACCTATATCGATCGAAAATAAAAAGAAATAAAATGAAAAGAAAATAAATAGGAATCAAATCATTGGCAAAATGGTATGGTAACCGACGCTGTTCAGCCGGTAGTCTAATTTCAGTAAAATTTTCATAATACATATCATTATCAACACGCACATCATTTCATAGCATCGTTTCCGACTCAGCTGTTTCTGAATTACAGATCAAACACCATTTTAGTACCTATTTATGATAGATAGGTAAAATTTAATTAAACACTGATATACGAGTCTAACTTTTAGTTCATACTTAAATGGTCCGACAAATCTGATTGATATTGATATGCGACTAATTCACAAACGATTTTGGCGTATTTAAAAAGAAATATTTGCGAATTACTATTTGTACTTTACCTTTTCACTTCCTTATTCACTGTTTAAGCATTACTTGTGAGGTTCACTCACCTACACTTTATTAGGCTTAATTTTATTACACAAGAAAAAACTAAAGATCACGGCCAACCACTGAAGTTTCAGTTTAATTACATCTTTTCAAAATAGTGTCAATTTATATCAAGACAACACTGCATCCGATGTAACACTGATAAAAGCACTTTTCACAGTACTCGGAATTAGAGAACACGGATATTTTCGAAACGTGATCGAACACATCAACGACGTATGAACTACTGAATAAAGAAAAAAGTGATAAAAAGGGAAAGCCGCCAATTGAGTCCTTTATTATAAGCCGCTGCCTAGTGTGCGGCATGTCAAAGGCGCACAGAAAGGTACCTATAGTTCCGCAAATAAAACTGAGAAGTAGCGGGATAGGGTTGCCATCTTCTCGTATTAGATCGGAATTTTTTTCCTAAAAGCCGGACTAAGTCAAATCTCTCGCGACACCGTAAAACAATATTACCCTAGTAGACAGTAATATTAGTTCACGGCTTCGCGAGGGTTACTGCCCTACGCACTCGTTACTGCCTAGTTATTCAGAGGGTGCGTTAAGCAAAAATCACTAACTTTCAATTGATTTTTTAGTAAGACGTAACATACAAATAAGCGGTAATTAAAGATAACTACATCATAATTTTAACGCTTTTATCACAGCCAAAACGTGAATTCATAAAATAAGACTTTATCGTATCATCAAAAATGCACAACCTATTTTGAAAAAGGTTTTTTTTATAAAGTAATTTCGGAGACAATACGATGCAAACAAACTAATGATTTGTATTCAAATTTCGCAAATGCCCGTGCAAATCTGCGTCTTTTTGGGTATTTGGGTATTTGACGTTTTTCGAATTTGTGTGTATTAATAGTTTGGTTGATATAGCTTAGGCACTGGTATACCAAAAACCTATGAAAACCATACCGCCGGACATGTGACATTAACATTATGCTGCACACAATCTAAAAAGTCAAACATGTCCCGCTAAAGACGGATAGATGGCAACCCTAGACAGGCGGCAATGTTAAAGTTTGAGCCTAAACTTCTAGTTGCCTAGTACCGAGGTGATCAACATTTTATTGTACAAATTAAAAAAATCGTTGCAGGACATTATTGCAATTAATTTTTTTACATACGTACGTAAGAACATAATACGTAACGTACATAACGTGAAACAGTTTGAGCGACATTACCGGAGTTCAGAGTGGTAAGTGTAAGTTTTACGCTAACGCGTTCACTAGAGAGCGCGTTAAGAATTTGTATGGAGATTTGTACTTCTTGGTAGTTACCGCTAGGGGCGCTCTTACGGATTCCATACTAAAATCTTAACACGCTCATGATCGACAGTGAACGTAAACGTCAAAAAAACGTACACTAAGCGTTCTGAAGAGTCCTTTTTGTCAATTAAATATCGCTGTAGAAAATATTGTCTCGGTAAAATAGTTACGGAATTGTTAATTGACAAAGATTTTGTAAATTTTTATTGTTGTTGATAAGATAGTACATGGTTGTATTTTAAGTGTTTACAAACTTAAACATTGTTAATGTTTGGTAAAGACTAGTTTAAGTGAGAAATGTGATATACTTTCACGCTGCACCGGCATGCAAAAGAGTATGCTCGGCTCAGTCTGTAGAGAGGAAGTAACATCGACTATCATAAGACATCGCTAAATAAATAAATTAATGTATTTCGGGGCCGTAGTAATCTGCGCACAATCGACATACCTGTTTAAAATTTTAACTCATACACCTTTTCTATTTTGAACTATTTTTCAAATAAATAACCATTTGTTTGTTAGCTGTGTCGGTCGTTTTAGGGCTTTTTCTATTTAAGGAAATAGGTAAACAGTACATAATAACACGTCACATTCAGTTTCATTTCTTACAGCATTAAAATAGTGAATCCTATACTCTGATTCTAAAATTCAGTTGAATAGCCCCAGTAATAAAATAGATAATAAATTAAAATCTGTACCAAATGTTTACTTCTACCGCGCGCGACACACAAACACGAACGATAATGTTTTGTTTCTTTCTCTCTCTCTCTTTCCCTCCCTCTCTATCTCTATCTTACGTCATTGTACAATCGGGGGATAAAATGAATTTGTTTTAGGCTCGATTTTACCGATTATGTATTTATTTCTCTTACGTATTTAAATACCTAAACAATAAAAAAAAATTTATGGGTTAAGCTAATGAAGTTATTTCTTAGCACCCGTTTTTATAATTATTAATTGTTAGCAGTTTGATAAAACTAGGGCTTTTGACTAGTGAAATATAAAAAAACTTCAGTTATTGAGAATATCCAGTCTAGATTTTGTACTTTTCTCAATTCAGAAAGCGGCTCTTTATCAACATTTTTTCTTGCTTTTAAGATACCTAAGTGTAGTGCATATCATTTACTCTAAGGTAGCAATCCACTTTACTTGACACAATTTACATGCAGTAAGAGTAAGTGGTTGAAACCATAATCGGGAATGATCATATTCCCGATTAAGGTTCATATTCCATTTTCAGTCTGATCTTTTTATTGTAAAAATATTAGAAAAGAAATAAATTGACATTAAACGTGTACACAATTGAAATGTGTACACGAATATTGATCAATGTTTCAATTTATTCCCCGACTGTATCTGCGCTGACGTCATATTAGGTTTACTTTCGTTACAGAAGATTGTAGGTACGAGTACCAGGTTATCATGATTTAAAGACACGAGGTGTAAAAATTCTGTTTCAAAGATGAAGCAGCTACAGATAGACAAAGTTACCTGGAAGAGACTTAGTGATATACGTCTCCTACTTTCATAATATTGTAATTATTTTCATAAAAATGAAACTACCTATTATGAAAAAAAATTGTTCGTGCAGTAACGATTATTCTACTTATCTAGAGGTCGCGATATTTCTTCTTCCTCTGCTTCTGTATTTGTTTAGATTAGATGAAATTGATTTTATGAGTACATTATTGAGTGACGTGTGGTACCATTAATTATAAAGATTATTATTTTGGAGGGACCGTTCTACAGTTCGTAAAGAAATATTGTACGAGCATTACAGGCGAAAGTATTTAATCCAGTGCAGTGAACATAGTGTACTGTTTATTGTTTGTTTCCGTGTCTGGTGTGTGCGTAGCACGGTCATAGTAATATGGCAAGGTATAATGGAAAGGGAGCTCTAATCTGAATAAAAACGAATTTTGGAAAAAGTTTTAAAATAATGTTTTCGTGTAATATTTTGCATGTTCGAATATTTGCGTATGTCCACATAACTAGAAAAAATATTTCGCTGTACTGTGACGTAGGCACTAAATACCAGTAGATATTACCAGTCTGGCAAAGTAATAGTCTTTGATTTAGAAGTCAATGAACTGAAACAGCTGATCATAATGTCGGTGTGCTTCGATAAATGGTATCGAAAATTTTGCTAAACTTCGATATTGTTTTTTTCAATAAATACAATGGCTACGATATTAAGGACAGCGTCCATTATCTCAGTTTTATGTATACTCAATGCCATTTTCGGGATAACGGGTTTTTTTGTAACACGCGGTATATAAGGTGATTATTTTGCAAAATTCATGCAAAATATTAACAAACTAAAAATTACTAAATTATTATTTACGGGGATTATTCATAAATATTTCAAAAATAATATATTTCTTGCCTTTTGTGCTATCTATACTTTCTATTTTTATATGACGTCACGCGGGTATTTTTTAGATCAGCTTTCAGTATCTATTAATATATATTATTGTTAAGTATTCAATGTGGGAAATTTGTTGTTCGGATAAAATAGTTCGGGCTGCCACCTTTTTTCGCCATGCGAATCAAATACTGAAATTCACACCAGAAGTGAAAAGTTCAGTGCCATTTTAATAAGAAAAAACACATTTGGATTTAATCCCGAGCTGTCTGGTGAGTCGTAAATACTTATTGTTTGATTTGTCTAACTCGAATTATTCACGTCTTTTCCTTTTTCTCTTAATCAACTACAGCCCGCTTAATTATATACAACAATTGTAGTCACATAAAAATTATGTGTCCATCTAATAAGAATGTTAAAAATTAATACATATTATAATGTAATTATTATTTTTATTACATTCATTATTATTATGACATTACATTGATTTGAACAAGTTTTGATACTGAATAACTTTTCAACATAAACTTAGAACTAAAGAGGTAGGAACTTGGTAGGACGACCAAGTTATTAACCAAATAATACACGTTGATGCGATGATAAAAATTTGTCAACATATCTAATACAGACCTTGGTGATTCCATTTGGAGGGGTGACGAACACTTTCTTTTGGTCTTCTCTTGGAATCTGACTATGTAAAGGCAGGATCACATATCGAGATTGGTCGCCGAATATTCGGCTTTGGGACAAGTGTTTCATGAGAGCAAATATCAGGTTCCAACCGGGGAGAAACACTAAGACAGCGCCGTCGCCTTGCAGATTGTTTATGTAGGTCAATAAAGCTTCTATGAGCTCGAAGCTTAACTGTTAAAAAATAAGGCAATATTTTATTTTCATGTAAAAAAAAAATGTAATAAATCTAAGAATTGCATATTAATGACGATATGATTATGGAATAAAAAAAATATTTTTCAACAAACTAACTGACGGAGAAACAAAAAAAAAATTGTCATCATCCCTATTGGCACCGTTACCATATTGAAACACATAATATAGTTACGTTTTTTTATTAATGAAAAATGCTTAAAAATCCACACAAATCTTTGTTCCTGGCACTCTGAGATGGGAGTCAAACTCATGACCTTTCGCAATCCGGGTGACTATTCTTACCACTTAGCCGTCCTAACAAGAATGACGAATTTTTCAAGTACTTGTTACTTTTTTGCTACTACAAAACGTATTTTCATCAAAGTTCGAGTCCCATCTCAGAGTGCCAAGTGCAATGTGGACTTTTTAAATAATTTTACAATGCAGTTGCTCATAAAGCGCTATTTTTTTAATCCATTGTAAACACCGAAAGTGAGTCTTTAAACACGTGTTAAATAAAAATGTACTGAAATCCTTTACTGCACACGTGCTTAAAAGTATGTTTTAATTTTTTTTGGCCGAGCACCAAAGAAATTTAAAAAAAATTGATGAAAATATGTCAAACTTTAGAGGCAAAAGTATTTCAAGGAGCCTAGAACGAATATTTTCAAATAAAAATGTATGACACGAAAACATGTTCAAATATCACGTTTAATTTTAACAAATAATTTTTACCTTTAAAACATAATTAGTTTTATTAACCTATATATTTGCTTTATTTCCTCGCAAAAAGCATTGAAAAATGTTGTAAGAAACTTATGCGTAAAAGGTTTTTCGAATTCGTGCCAATGATTTAAATAGTTGCTTCTCACAAAAATATTGTCTATGCATTTTGTAAGTTTCAGAATAATGTCCAGTCAAATTGTTAATTTTCTTTTATTTTACTGGGTTTGTTCAAAACAATGTATATACATACATCTTTCTCAGATAGTTGCTGTAGAGCCTGTGAGGTTTCTGGTGCATAATCATTTCCCAGTTTACAGTTCTTGTTCAGATCTTCATCTTGTTCATCAATGCCCACACCTGAGGAAATAATATGTTGTAAATATTGATCAATATTGTTGGCAATGGACTCATTGCAGTACCAGTAATAATTAAGACTCACTTGTGTAACCAAAGTTTAACATGTGTAATAATGTGACATGTCGCACATTGTCCCTTCAAACATATCAATAATTTTTATTCAATCACAGTGTGAGAACTTTTTAAATATTTTTGTTTCCAAAGAGGAAGAATGTCATTATCTCAACTAAAACATACCTTCATCATCGTCATCGTCGTCGTTACTGGCAACTTTCTTTCCAGAGGACTTCCGTTTCCTGTTATCGACGGGCGGTTTAAACTTCGTCAGCTCTATACAATCCTCAAGGAAATATTGCTGTACTGGATATGTACGACCGGGCACCTAATAACAATGTTTATATTACAAACGGGTTTCTAGTTCCATTTTACAGGGATTATGAATTAATTGATTAATATTTGTCACTAATATATAAAAATTATCATAGACACATATCAATATAGTCTTATGAATGTAATATTTATTGACAAATTTAAAAATGTTCCAAAGACAACGAAGTTGGATATTATAAAAATAACATAACAACCCAATTCCTTTGCCTCCACAGTAATAAAGAAAACATATAAAATAAAAAATAACTATGGTTTTCAAATAATATCGCTACTCTGTAACTATGAGAAATCTCTATAAATATTATTTTTGTTTATGTATTAATATATTATTTATGCATACCAATCAGTCATCAAGGTAAGTAATAAAAAAATTTACCTCAATTACAGGGCAGTTGAGGAAGTAATTGGTGAACAGAGTGGTGTCTACTGTGGCAGACATCAATATGATTCGTAGATCAGGATAAGTGTGGGCCATGTCACGAAGCAATATAAGGGCGAAGTCCGTGTCAGCATCTCGTTCATGTACCTTCATAAGACAATAAATCTATAATTAGTTATTTAATATCTTAAATATTGTAAATAGTTTATACATCCTTTACAAAACGCATTACGTATCTAATGAATTACACAATCAATTTTATATATAATATTTAAATTAATAAACTGTATGAACTAGTTCTTGCTAAATGGTAGTAGGTAGATGAATAATCTTGAGTGATTCATTTATTTTTTTATTGAAAATTGAAGAATTTAAAACAATATTAACCTCATCCACTAGTACATGACTGACTCCTCTCAAACCACCTTCTAATTTTCTTAGAAGCACGCCGACAGTGCAAAACATTATTGAACCGTAAGGTCTAGGGAGTACGGATTCAAATCGAACTGAATATCTGTAAAAAAGAAATTATGACATCTATCAATCACAAGCATGTAATCTATGAATAAATCTTTTTAATTAATATTGGCAATTTAAAATGGGCATGCGTTCCTATGTTTTATACAAGTTATTTACATATTATGTCGAATAAAAATAATAAGCCGAGTGGCTCTGACGCCAGCTTCAAGATGTCGCCATCTCTGAGGCCTTGTGTTCGATTTCCGCAAAGGTCCAAAAATATTGATGTTTTAGATTTCCATAACAAAACTTACAGTAAGAGTTATGGTAGAAGTTAAGCTACTTCCACGAATGGATGGCCATAAATTATATTTGGGATCAAAGTTTTCAACTGTATCTACAGCCGTTAACACCCAAATCCGCACTGGTTCTACGTTACGACTAGTTGTCACTTATATCCATAGGGAATCATGCCAGCAGGAGGGATATTAACAGGCTACGATGATAGTTGAGAGTATAATAGAGACTAGTATATACCCGACGCTGTTTCCGATTTCCTCGCATCTCTCGGCTGCTACCCGCTCGGCGACACTAATGGCGGATATACGACGAGGTTGCGTCACACAAATGTTCGCCCACGCGCCCTGACCGCTCGCTATATAGTCGTCCAAGATGAACTGACACACCTAAATACACACGGAAATTACGTGATGCTATATGTAATAGAATAAAGATCGGTCGACAAATTATAAAAAAGAGTTCTTATTTTTATTTAAATTTAGTTATTATTTGCTCTGGGTTTAGGATTGCAGTTTTGATTGGCTTGAATAAGTCACCTTAAGGAAATATGTTTATAAATAAAATGGCTTAAAATAAAACCTATTTACATCATGGTTCTGTAAAATTAGTCATAGTTTTGAAATGTTAGCAAAAAATCTCACCTGGGTAGTCTTCCCGCAGCCAGTGTTACCCCTGATAATGATGACGGGGTTGTCGTTGATTGCGTTCATAATTTCTGAGCGCATTGCGTATACCGGCAGTTGTTCTCTCTCGCGAAGACTCTCCTAGTAAATGGAAAGTATATTGGTTTTAATTATTATGGTCTAATCTGAGTATTGTGATCACGATGGGACTGACATGTAAGTTAGGTTTTCAGCTCAAAGATTTTTTTCTCATTAAGACATAGTTAATTAAAATTAATATAACAATTATGATCATGGGGTAAGTGACTCATCTAACAGCTTTCAGTAGACTTTTTTTCTCATCCTGTAAGACTTCAAGATGGGGAAAGGGAAAGTATATTATGTAACTTAAACATGTTTGTCAAACAGCACGTCAGGTTTTATACATCTCTTTCTCCGCTTGATTTTAAACCTTAATACTTTGAGGGTAGAGTTTGATATCAACTATAGAAATTTGGCATATTATGTTAACCTGATATACAGCCGTTTGTACATAAAAGAAAAAAAAAGACTCAGTGTTTTTACAAGCATGGACGCATGGACCCTTTATTTAGGTATATAAAAATGATGAATCTAATAACAACGGAAAAGTATAAAATAATAGAAGCTGCTAGAGTAAAACATGTTTCACAAACAAATAAATTATGTATTATGAGAATTTCATGTCAGAATCTATACAAATAGGGAGAGCACATATGAAGAAAAGAGGAAATGGTAGATTTATATTTAAAAAGCGCTCCGTTGTTGGAATATATAGATGGAAAGGTAGTGTAATCTTTCATGCCTAAAAATTTATTTATATATTAGAAAGGGATAAAGCTAAAGCTTAGTAGTGCAACAGTATTATTAAATAATATTACCTGATACAGTTGACTGTTCTGGCACATGTTACGGTGGTTCTTTTCCAAATCTGAACTGAATTCATCGAGACTGGTGGTAGCGAGAGGACCCTCATCTGTTGAAGAGAATAAATGAAAACAAGTTCTTTAACTGCCGATGCCGTAACTAGTACGAATAAGTGTCTCCTTTTCCTCATAAAGCATAATATAAACTAGCATCTCTTTGTGTAGTATACCTTCTCTTCAACCTCCATAGCCGAGTGGTTCGCACGCCGGTTTCAAGGCGTCGCCATCTCTGAGGTCCCGGGTTAGATTCCCGGTCGGGTCAATGTAGAAAATGCACTTTTCTCTATTGTCTCGGGTCTGGGTGTTGTGTTACCTTCGTTGTTTCAGATACTCCATAATACGGGTGCTTTAGCTACACATCTTGGAATCTGAGCAATGCATGTGATGTTGTTTAGTATTTATTTCTTTTATAGCGTGAATAACTGGTGTCAACAATTACATTCTCAATAGAGACTTCATATGATTTTTCATTATAATTTTGATATCATAAATTAGCTCAATAATTTATAAATGTGGATTATAGTTTCAATTACCAACAACAACATTTTTATTATATGATTGTCGTTGTTAACTTTTCTTGTTACTTGTTATGGTTGACTAAAATAGCAACTGCAATTATGACTTTCATAATAAGTTAACATAATTTCACTAATAATACATATACGTAATCCTTCGTTATTACTTTTGGTTGGGTTAAAAAAATCCTTTCCGTTTGTTATCGCGTTATTAGAAAGTAGATGTTATTTTTTTCAAAAAAAGTTTTTTTTATTTTTCATATAATTTCTTTTCCAAAAATTTATAGAATAAATTAACAAACTAAAAGTTATTAAATTGTTATAACAATATTTAAGGGATTATTCATAAATATTTCAATAAATAATATATATCTTGCCTTTTCTGCTATCTTTACTTTCTATTTTTATATGACGTCACGCAGGAGTTATTTAGACAAGGTTCCAGCGCATTAGCAATTTATGGGACTTATAATTTAAAACTACAAAAATAAAAGTTTATTCAATTATGATTGCCTTACTGTATTTTAAAAATTGTTGCTAGTAACTATGGATAATTCATCAGTTAATTATCAGATTAAACAAAAATTAATTATCTTAATTATTACGAACCCTGATGGTAACACATGAAATGTATTTAATTAAAAACCGATCATTACGTCTTACCTATATTGCATCCGGTCCAAGCGTTCCAGTTAGCTTGCGGAGGCGACCACGACACAACTCCGCCCGGGGCGGGGCGTGCTTCACGCATCGCCCGCACGCGGTCCACTTGTATCAACGTCACACCTGTTGGACCTTCCTGGCCTTCCTCGGCCTTACTTGATGGTGGTGGATTGTTTACATCAACCGGTTCGATGTTTAATTCTATATATACATAAAAATGGAAGCAAACTTTTGATCATATAATAGTAACATATGGAGAAATTATGTAAGTCAGTTTCATTTGATTGAGAAATTCAATCAAACATTTATTAGTGAAAAAATACCTTCTAATGTATTCTGTAGCAACTGCTCTAGCTCAGGATTTATGGCAACAGGGTATGGTTTCATGAGACCTTCTGCAGTCCTGAAATAAAAATGCTATTCAAAAGGTGAAATTGGAAAATTCCAAGTGCTTTTAATAACATTGATGTTTAATAAATAGTAAATAATATAATGTTATATTATATTATAAACAACTATCTATCTAATGACGTATCTTATATGGATGTAAATTTTTTCACCTTACAAAGTCTTTGCTATTAATAGAATTTAATTATTGATTCAGAATCAGGAGTCACTTCCTAAAACTTCATGTGAACACTTATATGAATTCTCCCCAGGTTGATGACGTATGCCAAGGCAAACTACTAGACAGGCTCCTTTTGTTAATATGTAAATATTTGGAATAAAAAAGAAATCTGGAGTAGTTCCCTAGTACACATGCTGAACAAATTGTTATACATACCTGTCTTTCTTCAAAGTACCACTGAACGCCTCTATAACACCGAGATGGTACAATTGACGAACAAGAGAGAGGGCGCAGGACTTGCTTGCGGTCTGTTTGTTGGAAGCTGTCTCACGACCAGTTACATGGCGACCTAATTGATGGACGTATATCGACATTTCGCAACAGAAACTCCTAAAAGGCATAAAAGTGGTATGTTATATTTTCAGAAGTAGAAATGTGAGGGGCTTAATGCATGATTTTGTACTTTATCAGTAGCTTAAAACTTACAAAGAAAATATATAATAACTTTTTGAATTGAAAAATAACATTTTCTGCCAATAAACACTTTATAGTTTAACCAGAGACATATACACTTACCCAGCAAATTTTATTGACATGCTAATGTGCAGAACGGGACATGTGATCAAGTATTCTGCTGTTTATATTCAACCTGCATCCAGAACAAAATCAGACTGTGAAATATGTTATAATGCAAGCTATCGCCATTCATTGAACCAAGCAATAAGACCTAATAAAGCAAATAAATAATTGACTTTATTTCTTACAATAACATCATCTTGAACATGGAAATGTAAAAAATCATGTCAAAATACATTTGACTTTTGATTTGTCTAAACCATATTTCTAGATTATCAAATATAAAACAGTAAAAATGATTTTTTATTTCTTTCTTGATAACAAATGGCTATTGGATGCTTTAGAAAAGTATTCAACAGTCTTAGATTTTGTTCTGGTGAAACTCACATTCGATTTATAATCTGTGAAGCAATATTTGCTTATTTTCTTTGCAAAATTTGCTTCAACTTATGAATACTTGATCACACTCTCAATTGAATATAATTTGCAGCCATTGATTTTTCAATCAAGAATGAATAACCAGTGGCTTAATCAAACTTAAATATATACATATATATAACACTCAGAAAATACAATAATGAATCAACTTTCAAAGAAAAAAGGCAAATGAATAGTTTGTATAAGAATAACATGCATTATAGTTATGTGTTGTCATATTCAACATTAGCTGTTCTTAGATTACATTTATGTAACACATACAATTTAAAGAATACTTTGAAATAGGAATTTGAAAAGGAACATCATCTAAATAATTTACAACAAAGGACAAATTACAAGTTATCTCCAAATTGCAAATTAACTGAGAAATTTACAATAAAAAAATTCTTGCACTAATACCAGTATTAACATTATTAATTGGTTATTCAGATTGTGTTGATAAATTGATGCTCTAAAACATAAGTATCACATCAATTATGACAACTGTATTAAATAATTAATGATTAAACGAACTTACCTGTACGTGAAGTTCAATCATAATTATACGAAGGCTTCGTCCGAAGAGATTAGCATATAACACTTGTAGTATCGCATAGAGATCGCCACTATTACACTATATTTGAGGGTATTTCCTCGGTTTTATTTATAACTTTTTTTTTTATTTTTATTTTAAAAGGCGGGTAGATCTATTTAACCTCCCAGCTCGAGCAGCCATTTTGACTCATTTAGTTTAGAGCTACATGTAATATTTCAGGACAAGAGGGGTTTATATATAGAATAACGGGAGGGGGGGATGCTAATCTCTTCGGACGAAGCCTTCGTATAATTATGATTGAACTTCACGTACAGGTAAGTTCGTTTAATCATTAATTATACTCGGCTTCGTCCTCTTAGATTAGCATATAACACTTGTAGACTTTTAGAGCCAAAATGTCGTGAAATATTCAGCTACAGACCATAATGAAGGTAAATAGAAACAGCGAATTACTGCTTCAGAAAAATAATCAACAATTATATATTATTAATTTATTGAACTATTCAGCACAGCTTCAGCAAAAGATACATTATCTTGATCAACGTTTAAAGGCCTATTATAGAATTTATAAAAGGTATTAGAGGAGCCAGTCCAGCCAGCAGTCCTGCGGACGGTGTCAAGGCTGACACCGAGTCGGTGCGCAGCCGACGTGGCGGCGTGCCGCGCGCTGTGCGCGCCGAACACCGACACGTCGATGCCGCTCTCTGCTAGCGTGCTCCGCACCCAGCGACTGAGGGTCTGGGTGGATACGGCCGTGTACGGCTTACGGAAGCTTATAAACAGCGTTTTAACATCTCCTCGCAATGCAGAAGTCTTAGCTTTGTATGCTAATAGCGTTCTTCCGGGGCAAATTGCCGGGTTAGTGCTATAGAAGGGTAACTTTAGCATTGGTTGACATGAACCGATCCTTGAAGTTTTGATTAAGCTTGGAATCGCAATAGTAATCTCATCCTGGGATTCTGATATATTATCCAAGGTAATTTTAGACATCGTTTGCATTCGATGCCCGGTTATTAAAGCCAAAAGTGTAATTAATTTTTTAGAAATTATTTCAAGAGAAAGATCATCATTTGGGTAATGATTTTTTAAGTAATTTAAAACAGTCGAAGTGTTCCAAGTCACATCGTACTTCGGTAAAGGAGGTCGAAGGCGAAAAACGCCCCGGAAGAATCGTTTGATTCTATCATCTTGACCTATGTATTCACCTATTATCAAAGCTAATGCTGACCGACATGTGTTGAGTGAACTGTACTGAGTTCCTTCTGAATATAACTTAGCTAAGAAATTAATTACATCCGGAGTTTGAGCATAGTAAAAATCAACATTACACATTATACAATAATTAAACCATTTCTTTAAATAAACATCATACTGTTTAAAGGAACTTGGTGACAGTGACGCTAATACTACATTTAAGGCGGAAGTCGGAACGCTTCGCTTCAAGAACGCCGTCCTGATAAAACTCCGACCACCAGGATAAGTTTGTTGTGTATGTTGTGTTGACTGGAAACATGAGAAACAATCAGATTTTCATTTGACTTAAAAAATAACAATTCTGATACTAGAAGTTGTTTAAATAGGGGGTACCAAGGTTGAGTCGGCCATTGTGGTACTACGACAATACCCTGAGCTTGATCAGCTACTATTTTTCGTAAGGTTTTTAATATCATAGAGAAGGGTGGGAATGCATAAAAGAAGTACTCCGTCCATCTCACCGTGAAGGAGTTGATTGCATGTGCCTCAGGGTCACGATGCCATGAAATAAACGTAGGACATTTGCAGTTGATCCTATTAGCGAACAAGTCTATAACGGGCTGACCGAATTTTTGGACAATGCGACGGAACGCTTCGTTTTTGAGTTCCCACTCTATATCTGGGTGTATTCGCCTGGATTCAGAGTCTGCTTCTTTATTGTCTTCTGACCGTATATAGGAAGCATAGACAAACAAATTACGTTGCTCACACCACTGCCACAATTCCTTAGTTACTTGTGTGAGATGGGGGAATTGTATACCTCCCATTCGATTAATGTAAGATATAGCAGTGGTGTTATCTATACGAAGCAGAATCTGACAGTTTTCCGAATTTCTGGCGAAAACCTTTAAACCGAAAAAAGCAGCCAGTATTTCCAGATAGTTGATATGCTGGCTACTTTCTTGGTTACTCCACTGACCACTCGCCCGGTCGTCTCCACAAACTGCACCCCACCCCGTTGTTGAGGCGTCTGTGAATATTTCCAGATCGTAGCTGTCCTCTTTGATCTTATTAACCGAGCGTTGAATCGCGTGATACCACCAATTGAGGTCTGACAATACATTGGCTGGAATTAACATTTGCCGCTCGTAATCTTCGTGGTTTTGTAAACTTAAATATTTTAGACGTTCAAAATATTTTGTGTATAACCATCCATATTCGATAGCTGGGCAGGCTGAGATGAGAAGACCTACAAAGCGCGCAAAATCTCTAATCTTGCATTGTTTTACGTTGTACATTTTTTCTATCTCTGTCTTTATACGATTCACTTTTTCTGCAGGCAAACTGACCTGGAAATATTCGGAGTCGATAATATATCCGAGAAACACGCACATTGTGCTGGGAATTTGACAGCTTTTCTCTTCATTTAAGAGAAATCCTAGAGCTGATAGTAAATATTTTGTGTGTGTAACGTTTTTTACACAATCTTTGTAATTCTGTGCTATAAGTAGCCAGTCATCTAAATAGACTGTAGAAATAAAGCCTGCTGCTCGCAAGAGACGAGCGACTGGTTTCATCACTTTTGTGAAAACATAAGGTGCGGTGCTTAGACCAAATGGCAAAACGTTAAATTCGTACAAGTCAGGGCCCCATTGAAAACGCAAATATTTTCTATGATCTTCATGAATTTTAATAAGAAAATATGCATCCTTGAGATCAAGCTTTGCCATAAAACAATTTTTAGTAATCAACTTCAGAGCAGTACGTAAGTCCTCAAGTTTGAAATGGGTTGTATTGATAAATCTGTTAAGTTGTTTTAAATTCAGGATAAACCTCTTTTTGCCATTCGGTTTGGGCACCAGAAATATACTAGAGATGAATTGATCATCGCATGGTGCGCATTTTGATACAACGCCTATTGAAAGCAGCTCATCTATAGCCTCGCAGAAGTGGTGACAATCAGGGTCATCAAGAGTTCGCGCCTGAGGGATGCAAAACTGAGATACAGGCCGAGCAAAGGGTATTTTATACCCCTTGATGTATGAAAGTACATAAGGATCGCTAGTGACGAGAGACCATTGGCGGTGGAAGGCAGCTAGTCTGCCGGCGTGACTTACTGTTTCTAGCGGCGACTGGAGCGTGGCTGCGGCTGTGACTTCTTCGATGAGCTGGCGCGCGGATTCCTCGTCACCGCAGACGTCGTGGTTTCCTTTGCCCTCGAAACTGCTGTCTGCTTGCGGCCCGAGGTCCGCCAGTTTTTTGACGAAGTGGGAGCTGGTTTAGAATTGGCTTTTGATTTCATAAAAGAGTTTGCTGCCTTAAGATCTGCACCTGATTTGTTTATAGCTTTTGCAGCTTTTAGTGTCTCTTGCAAATTTTCGCCAAATAAAAGGTTGTCAATTTTTGCGTTTTTCATTTGCTCCTTCATTTCATTTTTTACCGATGATAGGACGTAGTTGCGTCTTGTCAAGGAGTCGTTATGCTGACAATCGCAGAGCATACGACCGGTATCTATTAGCAGGCGTAATATGTCAGGGTGTTTTTCATTAAGTGACAAAAGTGAGGTAATGCCCTGACTGAGAGATGAAATTGCCGCAGCCAGCAATTTCTGTTTCGTTTCAATCGCTTTGTCCCTTTTAACGACCGGTTCTGTCAAGGCAGCTCTGACTTCTGGGTTTAAAACTGGTGCATTAATTAATTTACAGTTGCTTGGTATGAGATATTTTTCAGAAAGTTCTTTTCGTATCTCTTTTTTCAGGCCCGCGGTCGAACAGTGTTCAAAACGAATGGCAACCTCCTTGTGGATTTCTGGGCCAAAATTGTTGGTTTGCGTCGGATCTATACCGAGTATTTCCATCAGGTCGTCATCCAAAGCATTTTCAGTATCACCTTCTACAAAAGGCTCGAGTTCGTTCGGTTGTTCGACTCTAGAAGACGATCCCGGCTGCGCTTGGGCTTGGATGGCCTTGGTGGCAGACGCCCTGGCGGCGACGGTGGCGGGCGCGTGGACAAGTGCAGTGGATACAGTCGGCGCACAGGCTGGAGCAGCGCCACCTATCGATGTGACGGTTTGTTGCGCTGTAGGCGCCGACAGCGGCGGCGGCGATGGGGCGCGTGGTTGAGTGGGTGACGCGACCTGCCCATACAGTGCAGCTACAAGGTCACCATCCGACTCGTGGTTGCGTTTTTGTGAGTTATGTGCCGTATCGGTTTGGCGGTCTGCAACCAATAAATCATAATGAAGGAAATAAATCATAATTGTTTGAAGCGATAACAAAGTAGCCCCTAGAACTACCCATGCGTATCGTAATACTAAGTTAAGGTTTGAAGCAGTCCCTAGTACTGCCCACTAAAACCTATAAAACGCCAGACTTGCAGCTTCAAACTATATTCATTTCAGTTCAAAAAACAGTGGGTATATTCGATAATGAAAGAGATAGCCCCTAGGACTAACCACGTCATCGATTTTTCTGGTTAGAAGTAGCCTCTAGGACTACCCACAGAAACCCATACTTTCAGTTGTTTCACAACTTGTTTGTTGGTAAAAGTTACCAATATCTGCCAATAGGTTAGAAACAGCCCCTTAAACTGCCCACAAAAAACCTATATGTAGCCAGAGTACGTATTAGAGTAGGAAATACATAAAGAGACACGAGCCTCACATGGTCATAGAAGCAGCCCCTAGAACTGCCCACAAACCACTATCATTATGTATTTACATATATAGTACACATTAGAATATATGAACGAATTGAAATACCTTGTGGTTCCGACCGACGAATTGGACGGCGGGAAGGCGACGGCTCCGGTGATGATGATGATGAACTCGATGACGCAATCTGCATGACACGCACTCGTTTTCTACGCGAGCTCGAACTATAAACTTCTCTTTCTAATTTTTTCAATTTATCTTTTAAATATTTAAAATCATCACTATTTTTACGCTTTGGCATTTTATTTGTTCTTTATATAACTTTTTATAACAATTTATCACTACTGAGTAGACGCGTGCAAAGTGGCGAACACTAGAAACGCGAATGAGTCAAAATGGCTGCTCGAGCTGGGAGGTTAAATAGATCTACCCGCCTTTTAAAATAAAAATAAAAAAAAAAAGTTATAAATAAAACCGAGGAAATACCCTCAAATATAGTGTAATAGTGGCGATCTCTATGCGATACTACAAGTGTTATATGCTAATCTAAGAGGACGAAGCCGAGTATAATTTTTAAGGCACATTGCCATCTCCAATTATAAAATTATAATAATGAAGTACAATTTTTTTGAAGGAATTAAAAACAAACCGTGTGTGATCAGGCCCTACAGCCTTGTATATATAATCAGCATTAATTTTGTTTATTTGCATGAACTGATGAAGTTTTGACTTAGCATTATCCATGTTCCAGTTGCCATGCAAGCTCGCATTCACATCTAAATCTTCAGCCTCTTCAACATTTTTTTGCTGTTGTAGCCGATCCATATATGTGAAGTTTTGATTCTGACCACCATAGGCATGATAGGCCTGTCCCATGCTTTCGGGACCCATTCCATCCTGCAGTCAAACCATGAAGTGTTTTAAATTCTGTATAAAGCAGTATAGAATCTTTTCCAACTCTCAGACAGAAAATGAAATAGCATTTTTCAGAAAACATACCTGAAAAACTGGTCTTGGATAACTTTCATTACCATTGCCATGTAAGTTAGGGCCATGGTTTTTGTCTTCAACCTCATTTTTGACGCCAATATAATCCGGAATGTCATTTTGGGCAACATCGCTTGATCTCACTAAATAGTTGATGAAGTCTCGAGACGCATTCATCTGAGCTTCCTTTTTAGTTGTTGAATTTCCTGCTCCCACATATGTGTAGCCATCGACACGGACTTCGCATAGGAAACGCTGGCGATGCTTGGGACCTTAATGAAATAAACCTTTGCAGGTTACAAGATCTACACATAATCACCTAAATACCACATATTATATGGCAAAAGTAGCGAAACTATTAAGATAGTATAGTTATGCCTCTTAAGAGAAATTTAAATAACCTGTAGCACGTATATCATATGTCGGCGTCAAACTTTTCTTGGCGCACCAAGAAAATAGAAAAGACTTAGCATCCATCGTGTATGTTGGTTAGTTATCCAACAACACAAGAGAACACTGACAAAAATCACTAATCAATGATTGCAATATTTCACTAATTATTAAAACAAAATCGACAACGACAAATATACAAAAAAAAAACACAAACCACAGACTTAGGACTTAAAGGTTATATTAGGGATAGGGATCGAACGATACTTTCGATACTTATGAAGTATCGATACTTTACACTCGATACTCGATATTTTAGTATCGATACTTGAACATCAAGGTATCGACAGGATCGCGGTATCGACTAGTCTGTTTTTAAAATATCGAGTACTTTTTGTCACTACTTAAAACAAATTACTTTCCATGGTTAAAATGTATACGGTGGAGATCGGTGACTTAGAAATTGGTCTGCTGGAATGCACCCAGCGATTTTTAGCAAATCGCATCCCTAAATTTGACTTAAAAATCTTAAACGCAGCGCAGCTGAAAGGAATGAATGAATGATTTTTAGTTCGTGAATTCATAGTCGTCCCTATGGTTCATTCAATAAATTTCTTCCTTCGTTCCTTTTTTCTTCGCGCCCAATTGTGCTATTTTGTGTTGTGATAAGATTTTTTCATTTCATTATCTTGATAAAAAATGAGCAGCGCTGGTAAAAGTGGTATTAGTACCGTGTGGAAATACTTTGAGAAAACGGATAAAAACTCTGCAAAATGCAAATTATGTTTTAAAGCCAGCCGGCCCAGGCGTAGTTTATTTGGTAAAAAACGAATTAAATAAATTTAATAGTCTTTCATTTCAACCTTACTTTCTATAGGTAAAGTACATTACATCTTTACCGAATGTGTTTTGGGTATTTATTTATTGGTATTATGATGATATTTAACTTATTGATAAGTTGACTATCTGACTATTAATACGAAGGGTCGGTAAAATGAATAAACGTGTTCGCAGGTATGAGTTTACTTTCGGACTGCTTGATGTTGAAGTGCCACTTACAAATTACAAAAGTCATAGATTACTTGCCACAGAGTGATACAGATCATTACACAGATATGCCACACATCCATAGGTTTTTACTTCTATTCTCTAAATAAATGATTATATTATACAATGTTATACTCGTACTTAGTATATAAATTACTGCATTCCAAGAAAACAAAATCATGCAGTGATCATGCCTCCAAAAAAGTATCGATACTGAGTAGTATCGATACTTTTAGATTGATACTTTTCGGGTATCGATACCTAGGGTCGATACCGATACCGATATTCAGTATCGTGAACAGAAGCCGATACTTCGAACCCTAATTAGGGATGACCGAGACAGTATTCACTCACAACCATAAGCGAATCTATTATCGTATTATTCCGTATCATAAGTTAAGTTATCATATATTGAGTAAAAAATCGGCACAATTATAGTACATAGCACAATATGTTAAAGTTAATTTCAAAACAAGTTAATTTTAAAGTCTACTAGCGCGGCAATAAGGCTTAAAATTAAATGAAGTAATTTAACAAATTTGGATAGTTTGACGTGCTGTTCAGTGTACATAAATTAACCGGCTTGTATCATTATTCGATATAAGTACTCGATAGTTGTGATTTGAACAAAGCAGGTACAATATCGAATTCGCGGGACTCGTTTTTTTATGAATACTAAGTATTGGAAATTAATAAATCATGTGTGATTTTTATAAAATTAATGAGGAAGTATTTAAAAAATACGAAAGCACTAAAAAAGCACCTCCACTAGATGGCAACTCTAGCAAAAGTTGATTTTTGTAGGAAACGAATGGACCAAATAGAGCGCTTGTGCACTACACTGAATTTTCAGGTCCAGCGGTCCGATTTTTTCCTGTCCAATATGTCAAGCCATATGTATATAGGTAATGCTAGCCTGTGCACTGACAGGAATTTTACCGTCCAGAATTTTACTTTTCTCTATTCCGGACCAATTTTTTCAGGTCCGTGATGGCGGCAATAAAAAATGTGTTTACGCTTGTGCACTGCTGTGTCCGCGATCCGGAAAATTCATGAGCCTGCGGAGTAGGCTTTGGAAAAATAATCGATTAATGAAAAATCGATATTATTGTTAATTATAAAATGCGATATTTTATATGATGATTTAATATAGTTGGTATATATCACTGCATATGCCTTGGCAAACTCGATATATTTCTAATTTGATCATCGTATGGTTCTAGTATTGATACTTTGCTAGATTCTAGAAAATTATTATTTGTCGTCGATCTAGCTTTTCAAGAGTAGACTATTTTTGGGAGCAAACACTTGTTGTAAAAACGTGTCAATTTGAGTACTTTGATTATATAATGCCCAGATTCCGTGTCCCATACAAAGCGCAACGATGTAAAGTGATATACAGCGCGATAGTTTAAAAATGGAAATTTCCGATATATTGATAATCAATATTAATTATAAAGTATATAATTCGATATTTTTGATGATGATTTAACATAATTGGTAAATATAACTGCATATGCCTTGACAAACTCGATATAGTTCTAATTTGATAATCGTATGCTTATAGTATCGATGCTTTGCTAGATTCTAGAATCATATTATTAAAAGTATCGATCCCAAAACAATATTGAATCAAAAGTATCAATAACTTAAGGTAAGACAAATAAGTGTTGGTACGGTGCCACGCCTAAACAACTGAACCCATCTTAATGAAATTTGATATATAAATAGACTTAACCTTGAGATAGGACGTAGGCTATCTTTTATCGCGAAAAAGATGTGGAAATAGGGAATGAAAGTTTGCATGGAAATTTGTCAATATCAAAATTTGTTTTTAGTCAATTGATAAGAATAAATAATTTATTATGGTTTATGTAAAATGACCATGTTAGGTCATTATTTAGGTCTTCTACTTCGCATGTAATAAAGCAAGCAATTACCGACGTTCCAAAAATCTTGTCGTACCTAGCGTAAGTGAGGTGTAGCTTCAAAGAGAGCTACCCTAAACTGCGCCGCTCCGATCGGGAAAAAAACGGGCAAGTGCACAAGCTACTCATTCGGTTTTTTCATGTCATTTCGGACAGGAAAAAATCGGACCGCTGGGCCTGAAAATTGGACAAGCGCCCTTAAATAATATATTAGTGACTTAAATCTGTATTCCGGGTTTTTTCACTTCCAAATTCACTATTTATGATATTCCACGTCATTTTAACTTTAATTTTTGCATTTAAAGAATTAAATTTGGCTAAACGACACACTTTTCAAAATAGTTTAGAGTATTTATGATATTCCACGTCATTTTAACTTTAATTTTTGCATTTAAAGAATTAAATTTGGCTAAACGACACACTTTTCAAAATAGTTTAGAGTAATTTCGTATATATTCTTGGAAGTTCTCACTTGTGTTATAATTACGTTCATCATATAGTTCATAGAGCCTTTTTCTGCTTTTGTATCTACAAAATCTAATCCTGGTGTAGCCCACACACTAAAAGTTATAGGATTACTAATACTTTTTTTTTGGCACAAAAATGTTGTTGAATTCTGTACAATAAACATCAAAGAAAAGGTAAAGTAGTAGTAAGGTGCTTTCTTTTTTTCTTAAAATACTTCCTAATTGTCGTACGGTAGCAAACACTGATGCCAGATTATAGTTTGTGTCGATAATTATCGATATTCGATCGCAGATTAAGGATTGTTATTACATTTTTTTGATGAACATCGATTTAATAAACACACTGTCATAATATTTCATTGGAATCTTTTCTATTTTTGGTGAAAATAATTGTTAAAATTTAAATAGCCAAAAGCGCGCGAAAAACGCTCCTCTATGTAATGGCGCTGATCGTGACGTCACAGGCCAGTAAATTATGTCAAATCCATAAGTAACAACTGTTTTTAGAGTAAATTGAAATAATAATTTAGAAAAGAAATTGAAGTCGTTGTGCGTATTTTTTACGTTTTTTATTTTCCTCTGCTCTGGTTTTCTTTAAAAAATGAGCTACAAGCGGTGCGCAATGCACAATGTACTAATACTTCTATAAATAAAAAACAAACTTCGAGTCTAGAAGAAAATAGATTCACAATCACAATAGTATAGTAGCTAATAGTATAGAGTAGAGATGGGTGATAAAATTAGGTAAGGATTCGCTAAAAGTATTGAAACTTTTTTATTTTATATCGATACATTTGAAGGTTTTCTTTTTGGATTTTTTCTTTGTCATAAACATTTTACGACTCATTTATATTTCTTGACAGGGCTCGCACTTCAGCCTGTTGACCTACAGATGGATGAGACATTAGTACGATAAAGAATGTTCTATATTTTTTTATACATGCATGTAGTATGTCTGTCGTAGTATGTATGCTTAAGTAGATTATTATCTATCAGGATGACCACAAAATGCAACTTATTTTCGATAGTGTCAAATACCCTATTCTGTAACATATTGAATCATATAGGATCTGTACTTAAGGAAAAAAAATCACGGGGAAAAAAAACGCGTTTATTAAACTACAGATTTTCGCAATTGCTCCGTAGTGCATCGATAAATAGGCAATTAAAAACGAGGTTGTGGTAAAAAATATACATTGAATTGAATTGAATCAAACTAATTAAAATTGTTCTGTAGTACAAAAATGAACCTTACCCCTGGCTATTAAAGTATGTTTTTCATTATACAGAACAATCTTTGTACAGTAGCTAATAAGAGCCTAGAGAGTCTCGTTCTTTCATCTTGCCTTACCTGAGTGGAAACACTTGTATTTTAACGGTAACTATTTTGAAAATTTAAAACGGACAAGTGCACAAGCTACTCATCCTGGTTTTTCATGTCATTCCTGACCGGAAAACATCGGACCTCTGAACCTGAAAATTCAGGATATAGTAGCAACATTGTAGACAGACGTTCCTACACAGGCTACAGCTTTAAGCTCAGTGGTGCAGCTGTGTCGTGGGAGTCACGCAAACAGCGTACTGTTGCTCTGTCCACCACTGAAGCAGAATATTCGGCTCTCGGAGAAGCTTGTAAAGAAGCAATTAACTTAAAGTCCCCAATTGAAGAAGTGTTTAATAGCGATCATTCCATTGCCATGTTCACAGACAATCAAAGAGCACTGAAACTCTCGCGAAATAATACTTTTCATGCTCTTACTAAGCACATCGA